GAGCAACCACGTTCTGGGCAGTCAGACCTTTATATACATTAAAACTCACGCAGTGACTCCGGTGAGTTATCATAAACCAACATGGTGTCATAGTGCCCTCTGCATATGCAGTATTTCCAATTTAATGGAGCAGACGGGGGCTGATCTGACAACAGTTTTTTTCTTGTCAGTCGACTGGACCAAATAAGCCAGATCCCGTGTTAACAAAAGCCAAAAAGTTGGCGAACGTCTGTTATATAGGTGGGAAAGATTTGAATCAGCTGCACATATCCAGGGCTGGAAAGTTGTGTTCAGTCTCACCTCAGATAAGTGCATTTAAACACAGTTACAGGCGCGTGTCTGCTTTAGTCCAACGCGTCCGATAAATAACTGACAAGCCATCTCCTACAGACACTAACAGTTTGCAACAGTCTATCCAACTACCGCCACCTGCTGTAAAAGCAGATACAATCGCTACAAATAAAAGCAGATGACAGAAAGTTAAAGGCCAATCTGTAAAACAACTGTGAGAGCTGCTACATGTCCTTCAAGGATTTAAAAATGTTTGACTTTTTTTAAAGATTAGAATACCATGTGCACAGTAACAGAAACCTAAAGGCAGGGGAAAAAAAAAAAAAGGGGTAAGTATGTTTAAAATTGTGATCACAGCTTAAAGTAGAAAGTAGAAAAGTGACCGTGTTTTGGCAACCTAAAATCGATATTGTCTGTATTGCTTTCAAGTGTTAAAATGCTGCCAATACGTCAATCTATGAGTGAGTGAACTGCACAAACTGAAACTACACATTCCTGCAGGCGGCCCAGCCCCCCACTCTATTTATCTCTGTTAACGCAGCCCATTACTCCGGCCCTCGCTGCATCCCACAGTCACAAATCTGATGCATGCCAAGGTCTAGCTATAGGACCCCCCCCCCCCCCCCTCTCACTTCACCCTGCCCCTCTCACTTCCCTCTGTCAGACCTCACTAAGTGGATCCAGAGCACTGACCGGCTTCCACAACGACCCTGAGTTCCACAGATTACTTCACGGAGCTCACCCAAAGAGATCAAACTGTGGGTAATAAAAAACATTCATAACTGCACATTCGTCTTGCAGGATTGTTAAAAAAGAGCAGAACCAAAAACAAACAGGCACAGGGGTTTAATTAAAGCATGGAGGTTTTTCTTTTTTGCGGTGAAATATCTCCGCGACAGTCTCTGTCTTGTTCCCAGCTGTCGTTTCCTCATTCTGTCTTTCCAACAAACACACACACACACACACACACGCACACACACGCACACACATGCACACACAC